AAAAAAAATAAAATAGCTAGTAGAGTATAAAAAAAATAAAATAGCTAGTAGAGTATAAAAAAAATAAAATAGCTAGTATAAAAAAAATAAAATGGCTAGTAGAGTATAAAAAAAAATAAAATGGCTAGTAGAGTATAAAAAAATAAATAAAAAAATAACAAAAAATAAATAAACAATAGCTAGTAGATATATATTGTGTATTATCCTTTTAGTTTTGTATGAAAAATAGACTTTAAACTACCTCAACAGTACGAAATATAGAGTTTTAGCTAACTTAATGGGTGTGCATCCCTTTAGTCATGTACGAAAAAATAATTTAAGGTGAGATCGCCATATGCTTCAAAAAACACCAAAAATTAAGTATTTAAATTGTGTGTTTGTGCATGACTAAAGGGATACACGCCCATTAAGTTTGCTAGAACTCTATATTTTATACAAAACTAAAGGGATAAACGGGTCTTGACTATGGCTATGCTCATCTGACAGAACAGCGGTCACTCATACAATAATTCCCGTTCCTGGTCCTAACTCCTTCCTGACCTCCTGCACTATTCAGATAGCGCTCATTATGGTTAGCGCAGACGCACTTCTGCCATAGCCGAGATCTCCACACCAATTTGATTTATTCAGTTTGAACCAAGATATTTTTTATGCAAACACCTGAGACGCCTCTTGTCAGATTAACAGGTTTACAAGAAACAGGAAGTACAAAGGTTCCCGCTTGGTTCTTAAGTATCTATATAAGAAAGAAAATCAACAATCCACTGGACTTTTTTTTCCTCGTTTGAAGACGTTTCTCTTCCCATCCAGGAAGCTTTTTCAATTCAAAATGTCAGAAATAGCGTTTAGTTCCAGGTTTTATCCAGCAGCCCAACAAAGCCTGGTTTTAGTTTAGAAAACATGCAAATAGAAACGGATGAACGGGTCCCCCCCTTTGGAATGGGGGTCGATTGACTTCTTTGTTAGCCTGCAATGCCCCATACCTTTGTTGGGCTGCTGGATAAAACCTGGAACTCGACGCCATTTCTGACATTTTGAATTGAAAAAGCTTCCTGGATGGGAAACTTGGAAACAAAGTCCAGAGGATTGTTTTTAGTTTTCTTTTTTTTGGAACAACTATGACCTTGATGACTGTGAACCTTTACCATCACATAGAAGAAAATGCAAATTAGTTTTTAAAAATTGTTTCTAGTTAATTAATCAAAATTAGCCCTTTAAAGTTGTGGCTCTAATATTGATTTGTTGCTACTAAATTTTGTGATGACTTGAGGTTATGTTTGGGATTTGGACTTTACGGACCTTAATTCTGCCATGATGAGTTTAAAAAGGGATCATCCCTTCTCCCTCCCCTCGCTGCAGGAAGCTCAGTGTCTGTTATTTCCTTTAAAGCTTATTTAGACAGTAAACAGGTTTGTTGCTGCACATCCATCAATTCATGGTGCGGCGAGTCCTGTTGCAGCCAGAGGAGATCAGACCCGGCATGAAGGATCCGTCATTTACTTGTTTAAAGAAGGCTTCTTAATCCCAGTAGTAATAAAGCTAAATAAAACCTTTTAGTGTTTCTGTTTTGATGTCATACCGGAGTTTCTGCCGCGTGTAGAAAACTAGAATAACTTCCAGTCTTTGTTTAGTTCTTCCTCTGTTTCCTGGTCTGTGTTTTTGACTGATTGAGTGTCTCTGTCTGTGTTTCCTGGCCTGCAGTGTTCCTTCCATCTCCGTGCAGCTGAACGGCTCCACCAGCGTGAGCTCTGCCCTGGCAGGTAAACGGGTCACTAATCATCCATCCTCAGCGTTTCCTCTGCAACACATTTTCTAGCTTGATGCGGGTTTTATGCCCGAGGTCGCCGCCGACTTTGTTGCCACAACACTTCATTTGTCTTTGCCTGTTTTAGGAGAAATATTTGTTAAGGGAAAAGGAAGTAAGTCCAAAGTTAAAAATTAAGAGGTGATGAATGATTTTTCTTTTTATCACTAATGCATGAAAGCAGCTTCCCTGCAGATTTGTTTCTCTTAAAAACAAACAAAAAAAGCGGCGGCTGGGGGAGTTTTCCCCCATAGACGTTTACCAAAAAACAATCAAACGTATACTAAGTTATTACATCAGTATATTTATATGAATACTAACAACAAAAACATAGAAACACTTGAAAAGAACACAGGAAAGTCTGGACTCTGGGAGAACGGGAGCACGAAGCATAAATCTGGGTCAGTTGGAACAGAAGCGTACTGATGACATCACCACATTCAGAGCTAGTCTGGAGCTGCATTTCACCTCCTGGTATTAATAGTCTCTTGATAATAATAAAATCGTACTTTTTTCATTTAGTGGAGGAATAATAATGAACACAGTCAGAGAAACGCAAATCAAATTAACGTTTTGCCAAATAAAACAAAAAAATCTCCATCAGAGCCAGCGGTCCTTCACACGCCGCTATGCAGAGAGAGGGCTGCTGCAGACGGGCTAACGTTAGCCCTGGCCGCTGCAGACGAGCTAACGTTAGCCCTGGCCGCTGCAGACGGGCTAACGTTAGCCCTGGCCGCTGCAGACGAGCTAACGTTAGCCC